ATGGATTCATCTCACACTGTCCTCATCAGTCTCTTACAATCTATAACGTTTTAAAAAGTCAAAATCGTGGTGACGTTTGCATGCCTAGAACAGCTAAAATGGATACATATCATCATGATGGAATTGTATTCGTATTGGGATTACCAATTGTAGCGTGGCGTCGAGTTGAGATCAACTGTGAACACCGCTACCAAGAAACACGTGCCAGATAAATCAGAAGGCGAGGGTTGGACGTAACCAAATAGATCCATAAAATCCCCGTGAAGCCAAATATCAGAAGACAGTTAATGGACCAAGTCGAGGTTTATTAGCTGGCGATCTCGTGGCATCGAAAGGATACCGAGATCGTGCCAGGATACAACCTTGGTTACAGAAGGTAACCGAATTCGCGCGAAGTTACAATCGAAGTGTAAGCGAAAGAATGGAAGCCCAAAATAGCTGTCATTAGCACAGTCAAACAAAAGCACGTTAAAACAAACACTGGTACAGTTGGTTATAATAATAATTGTTTTTATTAAACCAGTCGTGTTCTCGTGGTAAACGTGAGTCACTACAGGAGCCCCCCGCTAGAAAGGGTTTACACTTTCGATAAATAGCGGTTTGGATCGTGGGACTGATCGGCTGACGAGCGATTGTAGGACGGAAGAATTGGCGAACAGGAAAGCGATCGTTGATCGTCGAGTTGCCAACGAAAGTCGTTTTCGGAGAACAGTACCAGGAGCGATGTGTTGTATTTGTTGCTTGAGTTGGCATGCTACACCAGAGTGGTTTGTATCCAGAATCTGAAGAGGGCGTTCGTACGGGTCCGGACCATAAACGCTGCTGACGAAGGACGAAACCACGTTGAGCCAAAAGACCAGAAGCGACCATAACGACCAAGTTCGAGACCAAGCATATGCCAAGCATTCGAAACCAATATATCGACTGAGTACGTTGACAAGAGCGTGGGTGGCCAATCCAGCTTTCGCCAAAGTTGACTGAAGTCGACGGAACCAAACGTAGATGGTCGAAGGCGTGGGCTCAGGAAACAAAAAGAAAATCAAAAAAAGAGGAGTGTAGCATACGTGTAGTATAGGAATAATCCTACACCGTATCGGTTGTTGACTGTGCGACTATTCGCGGAAGCGTACGGGTAATCGTACTCGGCGACCGAAACGTGAGACGGCAGTCTCGTTCGCGTCGCGTGAGCCTGCAATCTCATCCGAAGTCAAGGGCGGCGTGGTCTGCTGATCTGGACGTGAGACTGTCGTCTCGTCCGTAGACGGCGCAGATGACGCGTGCTGTTGACTGGGACGTGAGAATGAGGTCTCAGATGTATCTAGCGTGGGACCTGAAGAAGATTTAAGGATCCCGCTAGGTTTGATAGGTCTAGCATTGAATCTCAGGGTGTCAGATAGGGCACTGTCATCGACGTGTGCTGGTTTGAGACGATCAATGCTGACGATCTCGACGCGTCCATATCGATCAACCTTCAAGGTCTTTTCGTGACGAGCGATCACGTGAAAAGGACCTTCGTAAGGTTGTTGCCAAGGTTTGCGTACCGAATCTACTCGTACAAAAACATGTGAACAGGTAGATAACTCTCGAGGGAGAGCGACCTGTCGATGTTGTATTCGAGTTGACACCGGAGACAGCGTTCGCATAAATGCAGACAGTCGATAGACGTAGTCTGATTTACCGAAATTAGGTCTGCTCCGTGGTGTGAAGAATTCTCCGGGCAGACGCAATGTCGTGCCGTATACAAGTTCAGTGGCGGAACATTGGATATCTGCCTTTAAGCTCGTTCTCGCCCCTAAAAGAACGAGTGGTATGGTTTCGTGCCAGTTGCCGTTTTCGTGTGCTCGTAGAACACTTTTAAGTTGGCAGTGAAACCGTTCAACTTAACCATTTGGTGCTGGGTGGTAGACGGAGATGCTTATGCGTATCCATTCCGTACCAAGCAGCCGGGTCAGCGAGGAGAATCGTTAATAGGGTAACATTTCTCGAATAAAGCGTGGAATTCATCATCACGCGAATAAAAAGTGACAAGGATTCGGTACACATACGTGTGAGTCTATTATATTAATACTATTCTTATCGTTATCCGTCATGTCGCGTATATTATATATTAAAAATATGAAAATATACGACAGACGTGGATAGCTAAATCATAGACTCACCGAATTGGCTTCTTTAGAAGATTTGATCAGAAGTTGAGGCGTGTTCCAAAATACGGGTCACCAATTGTATTCGTATTGGGATTACCAATTGTAGCGTGGCGTCGAGTTGAGATCAACTGTGAACACCGCTACCAAGAAACACGTGCCAGATAAATCAGAAGGCGAGGGTTGGACGTAACCAAATAGATCCATAAAATCCCCGTGAAGCCAAATATCAGAAGACAGTTAATGGACCAAGTCGAGGTTTATTAGCTGGCGATCTCGTGGCATCGAAAGGATACCGAGATCGTGCCAGGATACAACCTTGGTTACAGAAGGTAACCGAATTCGCGCGAAGTTACAATCGAAGTGTAAGCGAAAGAATGGAAGCCCAAAATAGCTGTCATTAGCACAGTCAAACAAAAGCACGTTAAAACAAACACTGGTACAGTTGGTTATAATAATAATTGTTTTTATTAAACCAGTCGTGTTCTCGTGGTAAACGTGAGTCACTACAGGATAATGACATTATAAATGCAAATAACATGTGAGAGATTATAGATCACTAGACATAGTAGCTAGAGATCAAAGAGTTAAATAATTAATCGATAACATGGTGAAATTGTTGAGAATAAGTTAATAACAATTAAGAATAACAAACGTTGAGATCAGTCAGTTGAGAAATGTGATTATGAATTGGTATGAAGTGATTCAATAGAAATAAGGAATAAAAAACTGCAAGGACGTTGTAATGAAATGACGGCAAAGTCACCATGGTAAGGAAAGATTTACAATTCTTGTCGCTCGGATACACAAGTCTGTTTGCGTCATTTAATGGCTGTGGCGTCGGTGACTTCGATTATAATGGATTTTGACTGTCGATTGATGATACTGAAAGATTTCAGTCTATCGACCTGATGTGATGTCATGGGACTGGTTGGTAAAAGGTATTCTGAAAGACTTTAACCCAATAGGCGTAAAAGTTCTCATTAAATTCCTTTGGACAATCACTATTCCTGAAGTGTTTCCTAAAGTCCACTAATTGTGCTTCTAGTATATCGACAGTATATAATTCTTTCGTCCCGCGAAACTTTTTTCTTTTGTTTTGAGTGAATCATACATGTGACTTTGAGCCCGATGTGATATTTTTTCCACACTATTTGAAGTTACTGAAAGACCAAAATGTGAGTTACGTAGTCAAGGGAATGAGAGGTTCCGCGGCGTAATCTGCACCTACTGACTGATCATTCAAAAGTTCACCATTCAATATCATTGTAAATTGTTAGCATGAACCAGTTTATGCCTCACAACAGTTTTGGGATTTTGGCCGTCTCCGGTAAAGAGAACTTACCAACTTGACTAGAAAACCATATTTTGTATTTTACTGACGGTTGAAGACTGGGTTATTCTGCCGAAAGATCAATATGCTTCTTCCAAGAAAAAGAAGCTGGTGCCTGAGATTTTCCACATGACAACGTAGTTATCTGGTGCTCATTTGTAGTGAAAATGTATAAATGGGAAAGGATGTCGAGGTGCACTGTACCTCAGAGTGGGTTGAAGATAAATTTTAGCAGTATGGGACAAGAAAATGAGGAAACAATGTTGAATAACACAGGAGTGATCTGTCGACTCGCCCTGCTTGTTGAGTCAAAGACTTGACTGAAAGCAACTTGTGAACACATGATAAAATATTTAGTCCCTTCCCAAAATTGTCTTCTATCTAAAATTCCCTTAAGGCTGGTAGTATTGGAGACGAGAAAAATTATGACTGTTCGCTCTACGGTAAAGGGACACGTCGCTTTGCTAGAACGACCTGAAGTACTAAATGTTATGTGCCGTAAAGAAGTCATCTTCCTCTCTGATCTCAAAACGAAAGAATATACTCAGCTTGCAAAACTCACTCTCACACGCCCTGTGCCACAAATCTAAGACACTGTCACTATTTTCGGTATGGAAGATTAACAATTTTTTGACCTCCGGATTAAATCGTACTTGCGATTTGTTGAGAATAGGTTAGAATTATTTTGCTTTGCTAACTTTGAAACAAAATATTCTGTTGAGCAATGCAGTACTATGGGGATGTAACCCTTTTTAACCCCACAAAACTATGAATTTCTTCTCACAGTGGTATTACGCAGCCAATGGAGTATATGCTATCAGGAAACTTTGCTCCAGAACTCTATGTATCCTGAATCCTGAAACGTTGAAGACCGCTTTTGTGTTCCCTTGCTTCAAGAAGGATGTCACTCTTCTGAGGCATGCTCGGAAAAGACTAACCAAGATGATCTTATTAGACATACATCCTAATCCCTTCGTCCAAAAGTACTAGACTTGAATCCTATACAGTACAGACATGGATCTTGTAGATCAAACAATTTGCTAGTTCTGCCAAACAAATTTCGGAGTTTATGTGAAGGGTAAATGAGTACAATGAGTCGTATTGTTCATGCAGTTCTTCACTAGAGTATACCGTTCCTATGATTCAACATCAAGCCACAAATAAGAGGGCATCATATCAGGGCACAGCACGAGAGAATATGGGAAAAACAACATGCTAACCTGATCGTAAATGGAAACAATGTGTAGCGGAATTCACGACAAGAAATGAAATAGTTCTGAACTCTGCTGGTTCTTTCGAAAGAACTTTATAGTCCCAGTGTTACCAAAATAGACTACTCCACTTGTTATTACTCAATCACTCATCTCCATATACCTAATGTTTTTATCACATATTTTCTGAAGAAGAAAAATAAGCAGTTAAGTTTTCTGAAACAAAAACTTCCTCCGACAACAGGAGTCAAGCTCCACCAGATAAAAAGTTCGCTGTTTATACTTGGTGAAGTTTGAGTGTTTGTTTGCATTCTAGTCATTTGAGGAGTCACGCTTGACACATGGCGGGACTGCATGTCTTGAATAATGTCGTGGCTCTCTACCCTAGTCGTTGGTGAGATTCTATGTATTGATGAGAGATGTAATCAAATGGTTACAAGGCTGTTTGGCGTTAAGGCGTTAGATAAAGGCATCTTTACAAACATCATATTTAACCCTCCCCATTAGCACCATCATGTCGACAATATATCTGATGGGAACTACAGATAAATGCTATGTAAGTTTTAGCATTACTCTGATGAAACATCTTTCCCCGTCTGATACGAGATGTGTAATATGTTGACTGATCGTTGTTACTTCTTCCTCTTACTATATAACCCTGGTTTCTTCTTTAGGTCTTTATCATTAACGCAAACCATGTGAATCTTCTCCAAAGGCTTCAATGTCTAGTATACGGAAATATATATTGGGTAAGTGCCAACACTATTCTGATGAAATATCTTTCCCCATCTGAGTCCAGATGTGTAATATGATATCTGATTGCAATTATTTCTTGCACCTAGTGACTTACCTCTTCATTTTTTCTACAGTTGCATTCGGAGATAATAGATTTGGTCTGACAAAATGACTAATTTTGGCCAGGTGGATTCTTTGGATGTCATTCGAATATAGTAATTCTCTGAAATAATCTTGTGAACAAAAAATGGTCTGTCAATAAAATGTACTCCTGTGTTGGTTTTGTTTGTTTCTGTTACGGATATTAACTTGGGTGATGCTCCTGTGATAGGCGTTCTAGTTAAATTTTAGTTATTTAGGGTTTTTCCTGTAGATACCCCGGCTATAGTGTGTCAGCTTGTTGGTAGCGTCAGCTTAATAGTTACTCGAACTGAATCTATCAAACTAAGCTCCTGTGTCGTTCGTTGTGTATAACTTGGGCCTACACTCAATCACAGCATACCAATAACACTGGTTGACAGGTGTCAGAGTGAATACCCGGTCGTTTGGCTACGTGTGACTACATCGGTCGTATTTGAGTTAATTTTTGTGCGCTCCACAATCTAGAAATCTTAGATTTTTGTAATAATAGTTGGTTGTACTCCTTTCCTTTATTCAGTTGCAGGGTAGCCGCTGAGATCTGGTTGCGATATTTTCTCATTTCTGTAGGATGATCCTTCTAGGTGGCCTGTGTGATTGTATTGCGTATCTTTGAGCCGAACTTAATGTCAACTGGACGGTAGTTGCTGCATCTAGTTTGGTTTATACTTTATGAGAAAACCAGCTTGACTGGTTATTTCTGGGTTTCAGCTAACCGAGATTATAATGTCGGTAGCAGGCGTCAGCTGTCGTAAATATAACGCTTAGTTAGCGATAGGTGATTCCCCATGAGTTATAATGCACAATCTAAGGATAGCTCTTGTTCTTAAAGTAATGGGTCCGACACCACTTCAACAGTGTGTCGCGGGACAGGAGTAGTTGTTAAGTGGGCATTAGTAACTAAACATTGTTAATATTAGTAGTCTTGACACGCCACCTGCTGTCGTCGCGAAGGTGAACAGTCCCATGCGTGGTTAAGTGTGCTTCCTCCCATACATTAGACCGCCAACTAATACGAAACAAACAACCTTAGTCTGGATTATGTATATCCGTCTCCTATTCTGATCTTGTCTAGAAAAACTTTATTTTAGAATGGACTGATACAGCATGTTATCTTTATATCATCAATACGAGTTTTTAACCCACAACTGCTTGTCTCCATTTTATACCAGCACGATGTTTGTGTACAGTTTTGATAGTGCCGAATTTCCGAAACTTTGATCATGTATGTAAGTTAATTCATACACCATGCGTCCTCTTACGCAAGTCTCATTTAGGACGGAATACAATTTTTGCGAACTCTAAATACAAACTTAGGACTTGATTGGACTTACGTCACAATTTGGTGCTGAAGTTTTAACCAAATACTTAGTTTGAGGATGATTTCAAGACCCACTTAGTTGAACTGATCATGATCCTAAGTTCGGGTAACAACTGGCATTTACTCGTCGTAGTTACATAATAAGTCTCACTGTTTTCTAATATTTGTTAGGATAAATCCCAATTGATAATCAGTAAGGAGTTTGAATATTATCCTAAGATCACCTATTTATAAATAGGTTATGCAGAGACAAAAGATCACTAGATTGAAGTTAAACAAGATTGGTAGGTAAAGCCTTCGCTCCAGGAAAACCTCATCTTGTTATCAAAGTATATATATATTTGCAGGGTCCAAGGTTGATGGGTGAGGATTCTGCATATAGCACTTTACTGGTTCGAACCTCACTCTGCAATACACAAGTAATTGATTTATTTCCATTGAAAACAGTCGTCTGACGATATAGTTTTGAGGAATATATCTTGTTGGGCGTAGTTGACAAGGTGTTTCTATACTGGGATTGTTGTGAAGAGGTCAAATAAGTAGCAAGAAATAGAAGCTACTTTTTAGAGGTACTGGTTCGCTGAACTCCTAATCTCGAATTACTATCGTTTGGTTTATGTGACTGCGTAATTTAATTCATCGTCAGTTATCGTCCAATTTACTAACATCTAGTCCGAATTTATTGTCATTTAATCACGAATTCTGTCTACGTTGTTCGTATCCTAAATATCTTATTTTGGTACGGATTGTTTCTCTCATTAACTGGGCGTTATGTTCCAACTATTCATATATTTACTTAGTGTTGACGCTTAATATTCGGATATGTAAGTTCTAACTACAGCCGTCTTCTCTTCGAGCTCCAGACGCACTTTATCAGAGTTTGATGACAAACATATCCAGAAAGAATCTTACTCTATTATTTTTGCTGTCTTCAACTTATTTCCGAGTCGCTGCATGGTTGACATTAGAAGCCCATCATTAGTAATTGATGTTTTTCAATTTTGGTCTGTGCGGCACAATAGTCAAAGTGTTACAGGATTGAAGCAGGATATATATACAGAAACCAGAGCTATTTTTATGAGAATAAATGGCCAACCATGGGAAATTCTGACATGATTTAAGAACTTAGAAAGTTCAACTAACTATCGGTGTTCACATAGATTATAAATTTACCCCTTAGAAGTGTTATCTTTAGAGATTGGGTTTCAATCCAGTTGACCCTATTGTAATTTCCAAATAAGAATGGGAACTAATTCGAACTCGATAGTACGGTTACCTAAATATACAATGTTTACAGTTATCCTCAAAACCAAGAAACTCAAGAATAATACAAGGGTTCAGGAAAAGCTTGATATTCAACAGTCAGAGAAGTTGGAACGACTCTGTTCACATATTAATATGTAACGACTCAGGAACACAACAAAACCGTTAAATTAGGAGGGATAACAATCAGTCAGATATCAGGAAGGTGTGGTTCAATGATGACACTTCCGGATCCCAGCCACTAATTAGGCAAGAGGTTCGAACCCGACTTATCACCTGCCACTGTTTGGCTAATCGGGTAGCATCACTAGCTCTTACTTAAAGTGTGACTCAAAGTCAAGCGCATGAATCTATCCAGGAATGAGCTAACAACAATCCTTTGAGGGACTAACAAAAGAATAACACATTCAATTATTTAAAACTACAGAAAAGAAACGATAATTGGAGATTTTATCTTTTTTGGTTATTCATTATTGGATTTTTCAATAGTTTCATTACAGCAAAAAGAATCTGGTAGTACAGACTCTGAATAACTTGCACGCCACTTATTAATTGGATAAGAGATAGTCGATTGGTGATTACATAATACACATGACAGACGAATACGTCGTTTCCTCACCCTTATTTTGCCCGACAATTGTAATGGAACTAAGCATTTAGTACATAATGATCGACGTATAGCAAATGATAATCGTGTCTGCGATTTTCTACCAAGAATTTTTAGATTTTGTGAGGTTATACGGCATAGCAATGCTGCAAATGCTTCATTTTGCAATGTTGGTTTTAAGTCTATGAATAAAGACATTTGTTGATATAATAAATTCATATGATGATGAACAGGTGAAAAATGTGTGACATCATTAGTAGAGTGTTTTTGCTTTGTCATCGTTCAAGTGAACAACTAAAAAACGTATTTGATACTGACAGCTGTCGATGTTCTGGTTAGTGACGCGTTATCTACAAATTAATCAACAGAAGAACCAGTATAATCTAGATCTAATCAAGTAAAATTACTCAAAACGTTTATGATTCAGAATATTTATATACAGATAACAGTTGTGTATAAGACTAGCTTTATTTCTGTAAGTCGATCCAGGCCATTTTTGGTTTGTTTATCTGCATGAAATAAGCTACTTGATGACTACAATATTTCATAAACAGATCATATATGCTGAACTTTGCCTTAGGACGCTAATCGATAACAAGGGAAAAATTCGTTAATCAGAATTCCAATTTTTTGCCCCGAGTCTGCTATTTCGGCTATAGACAAGCTTCTTGTTAGTCCTGAGCAACCATACGTTTTGACCGGCACAATTAACATTGAGCTAACGTTAGTTATACTCTTGTAATTAACTTATTCCAATGACTTTCCTAACCACTAGAATTGTGTCCGAAAAGAATTATGCAATCTAGCTTTTCTTATTATTATATCTTAATCGCTCGACCCAACAGAACTTATCTCAAACACTTGTTAGATTATACAGGCAAATTATCAGACCGCGAAGCATATCAAGCGAGAAGTCGTACTTTGGAAAGACAAACACACAAATGGGAGGGAGAGAAACAAACGATTTGTAATAAGTAAGCAATAACTAAGGGATGTTAAAACGAAAAACAACAGCTAATAGATTTGCTTAAAGCTTATGATGAGGATATAGAAATGGAATAACAGTTATCCGATAAAACAGTGAAAATACAAAACAATAATAATAACCCGAAAAATAGCTCCAAAATTCTAAATATTCATTTCGTTATAATACTGGGTAATCGCTTTATACAAACCGGAAGGTATTTTTAGGCTATTGCGGTGTTAAAATCTCAAGAACACGATTGTCACTTAAGAATTTTCAGAGTTCATGTTTTTGGATATCCACTTACTAGGGTGCTATGATTTTGGTGTACATACAACGTCTGACTGAGTGAGAATCCGATCGTATTATCTTAGTAAACATCGATGAATAATATTTGGTTTTCTAAAAGTAGAACTTTTATCAAAACACACTAGTCATATTTATAGGTGGAATATTTGACTTTAGAACACTAGAACTGGTGGGAAAACATTATAAGTATTAAAAACATAATCATGTTGTTGATCCAGACATCAAACAGATCATTTATTTGGCACGCACCCAAACGTCCTGGTACGGCCGAGGGTGGGGAGAGTTAGCTCAGCCTCTCGAAGTGCTCTCAAATGGCCACGCGTATACAACCACTGCCTTGTCGCATCGGGGGTGTTGTTTACGAAATTGAAAGTACGAAAAGAGAATGTTCGGTGTTTAAACCGGATTGGAGGGTACGAAGCATCTACCTAGGAGAGTTGGAAAATCATGATTTCAAACCAGTGGTGCACATGGACTCCAGTATCCTGATGGAAAAAACGGCACATGAACCTATTAATGGTCACCGGCTACCACGGGACTGCATCTCCTAACGTTGCTCTACTGTTGTGTGAGTCAGACCTTTAGATCAAAGGCTGCGGGTGTGGCCGCCTAAGAAAGCCATCTGTTTGGGCACTCGGGCATTATCCCAGCCCACACACGAATCAAGTGACTTGTGTGGCACATATGCATTCGGTACCCCTTTGTACCAATATTTATGTGTTCAAATAAATAAATAATAATTCATTTGGCACATAACATAAGCACAGTCAAAGGTGTCTGTTTAATTAATCCATCATATAAGCTAAGGAATAACAGGAGATAAAGCGAACTCTCAACTTGGAGAAAATTAAGCAATTTTGAGAAATTCACATTAAAAAGTTTGAATCAAATGCAGGAAAATGCCCAGTTCTGTATTGTTGTTTAAAGTTTTCCTAGGTCTGTGACTTGTTAACGAAAATAAAACACTACATTTCCACTGATTTCGGAAAATGAGCAAAGAATTTACTCGAGAAATTTCTGGAGTTTCTTATCCCAAATCTTTATAATTATCGCCTAATTTTGTCATTATTTCCCACAGATACCATGTTTCTTTCACTATTTCCACCCCTACAAAAGCAAAATAATCTAGTGATTATTTGTAAAATCTGTCTTTTAGAACTGTCTTCAATATTTATCATTAGAAATCTGTACTACATTGAAATAGAAGACTGATGTAATGTAATTTGCAAGATTCATTCGGTTAAACAAGAAATTCATGTATTTACAAATAAAAGTTTAAAGGGATGTCGGACAATAATTAATTCGAATTCGCTGTATCCCTGGTATTCCGAAACCATAAAACCGAATCAGGTAAATTGATGATATCCAGGAATTACCATTATATCTCAAAATGAGTGAGTTTAAAAAGGAGCATAGTATATGTAACTAATCCACTCACAAGTCCCTCGGGTATGAGAAACACACCAAGCGTAAGGTCGATCACCATGGAATCAAGTCAAGTATGGAGAGAGGTACTAAAACATGAATTGTGTCATGAACAACAGCTAATATGTCTATGGACAACCACTAGACAATTGTGCTTTTATAAGGATGAGAACAATGGAAGAGAAATGATATCTGTGGAAAATATTAACAAACCCAGACAACCCAAAAAGGGGAAATAAAGGAGAAGAAAGGGGTAAATGCTTTGGTGGCGAAAGGGGAAATAAAAGGGAAAACGCGCCAGAATGTCGCCTTTTTCGCATGTCCGGGGGAAATAATGCGGACTTTTCCCTTCATGTCAGCCTGATAATGTAATAGTAGTGAACGGCCAACCAGGTTTAGTCACTGATATAAAGGAGGATGGACTACTAAAATTTAGGACTTTCACTGACCCACGCAATTACTTTGAAGATCGTTTCCCATCTACTGATATTGGAATCTTTAGGTGCTCCGTAGTTAGCCATGAACACACATGGATCTCGGTTAAGGAAATAGATTGTAAATGTATGGCCATAAATTGTAGGAATTATCTAGTTCTAATCCCATTACTGCATACTTGGCTGTAAATGCATTTTGTTTCACTAGTGTTTAGTAAATGACGACAAATAATTTAATTAGGTCTTACGTTATTTTCAGCCCGCTAACAAGAAGTACGTCATTGTTGACGTCCTCAGCAAAAAACAACTGATGATAGCATCCAAGGAGTGGATAGTAGGCAAGGAACTTTGCGCTTTTCCGAACGAGCTGGTCGATATACACCTTCAGAAGTGCGACCAACCGAATGAAAATTGGTCACTTATGAAATGTAAAGTTATTCACGAATTAGGTAAGTTACATACACCGAAATTATAATTCACTATAGATTCTCTGCAGTCTGCCAAAGATCTGTTACTTTCCATACAAATACTGCAATCTCACCGGGAAAACACTTTGCCACATAACACTGAGAAGCACAAGAGGTATGTACAATAATCTTACTAACATTTCCTAGAGCTGCCATGAAGCGTAAACAAGAATATCTTTACAATTCAGTAGACATGGATGTTGCTGAAATGCAGGTTGGCAATAGTCATGTTCAATATCCCAAATTCAGGTTGTTTGACAAATTAGTTTCGCTTCTTGCTAAGTAAGTTTCATGACTATTTACATGTTCAAAAATTAGTTCGACGCAATTAGAGACATCCCCGTCTACATCGGCATCAAAGCGTGTCAATGGTGCTTCAGCAGACCAGTAAGTCACCTGCATCATCAAGTGGACTTTTTCAGGTTAGATAGGTTGCATGCAATGGTGCAAAACATTTCGTCAACTATGAATGAATTCAGTCAAACGTTGCAGAATATGTCAACAGCCATTTCGGATTTGAGTATTAATGTAAAGCAATTGCTTTCAAAGTCTAATGAGCGCGAAAGACCGCATCAATTCGATTGCGGACTGTCGAGTCAGCAGTTCCCTTTGTCATCTGAAGAGTAACTACAGATGCTGGATACTGGATTGTCGCAGAAAGAAACCAGGGACAGATTTTTAAGCCATTAACATGAATTTAATAATTTGTTACTATTACAGATGGCAATGGTCACTAAGTTATCAAGTGACGATCCGAAAACGTCGATGCGTTTTGTTCTGTCGCATCTGTTGACACCGGAGGTTGCCAATAAATTCACGTTACTTGGCACCTCTTTAAAACGAGCACTACAGAAATGCACGTTTTACGGCTGCATACGAAGTAACCTATATCTATTACTTAAACTTCAGGTGCCTTAACTCATCGCTTTCTGTCATCCTCTGTCAACGAAAAAGACCTTGGTAAGCTCTATGACATCGCGACACAAGGTTACTTTCACGATATCCGAGACAAGATGATAAAGCGTAATAGAAGAAAACAAGACTAGGTATATACTAATTTAAAGTGATAACCTCCCTACGGCTCTATAGTTACAGTCAACAATACTAACGAACATAACCGTAAGTTCAGCTTCAAGTATTTGGCTGTGCCAAAGCATGTCATTGAGATATGGTTGTGACTTTTTTTTAAAATCACAATTCACAGGACGACTACCTCAATTCTCAATAGCCGAACGAACGTGGCTTAAGGGAATAGTCCGTGCAATTGTTTTGATGTTCTACCTAGATTTCAATAAACATTATTTTTTCAAATAGCTTACTCTTTTACTTACATGGGAAACTGTTGAAGTGTTGAGAATGTGTGTTTGAGTGTCAGTTAACTTTTGGTTAAATGCACATTCCTTATAAATAAAACATCACCTGTTCCTTCTTTTGCAGATAATTTCAAATAACAATGAATTAGCAATTGCATTGGATTTGCAAAACAATCGATGCTTAAGCTTCGGCTCTAGTGTTGTACAATAATACGCTTTTCCTTTTAAATACAAATTTTCAAAAATGTACCGCTTTTCCACTGCACTGCAGATATATTTTGGTCTGTTGTTGAAATTGAAGGCGAACATAGGAGACCTTTGGGGTTCTGTCAACGGATGGAAAATAGGGGGTTATGTGTGTATTTGGGCGAGAAGTAGGCAATTCCGCGGAAATCTAGGCGAAAAGTAGGCAATTCGGCGGTTATTTAGGCGAAAATGCG